GCCCTAGACAAATTAGAGGATTGGAACAAAAGAAATCTGATGAGGTTCAACAAGGACAAGTGCAGAGTCCTGCACTTAGGACGGAAGAATCCAATGCACCGCTACAGACTGGGGACCGAATGGCTAGGCAGCAGTTCTGCGGAAAAGGACCTAGGGGTTACAGTGGACAAGAAGCTGGGTATGAGTCAACAGTGTGCCCTTGTTGCCAAGAAGGCCAATGGCATTTTGGGATGTATAAGCAGGGGCATAGCCAGCAAATCGAGGGACGTGATCGTTCCCCTCTATTCGACACTGGTGAGGCCTCATCTGGAGTCCAGTTTTGGGCCCCACACTACAAGAAGGATGTGGATAAATTGGAGAGAGTCCAGTGAAGGGCAACAAAAATGATTAGGGGTCTGGAACACATGAGTTATGAGGAGAGGCTGAGGGAACCTGGATTGTTTAGTCTGCGGAAGAGAAGAATGAGGGGGGATTTGATAGCTGCTTTCAACTACCTGAGAGGTGGTTCCAAAGAGGATGGTTCTAGACTATTCTCAGTGGTAGAAGATGACAGGACAAGGAGTAATGGTCTCAAGTTGCAGTGGGGGAGGTTTAGGTTGGATATTAGGAAAAACTTTTTCACTAGGAGGGTGGTGAAACACTGGAATGCGTTACCTAGGGAGGTGGTAGAATCTTCTTCCTTCGAAGTTTTTAAGGTCAGGCTTGACAAAGCTCTGGCTGGGATGATTTAGTTGGGGATTGGTCTTGCTTTGAGCAGGGGGTTCGACTAGATGACCTCCTGAGGTCCCTTCCAACCCTGATATTCTATGAGCTTCATCAGCCAGCCACACACCATCCACATTTCTGCAGCACCTGCAAGGAACTGAACTCCTTCTGGCCCTGCAGCTCTTCTTATACTAGGCTGCTGGCCCTGATTAGCTGCTTCCCACACAGCCATTCTAGGCAGCTTGGAGGACCCTCTTCACTTTCCTTTTTTGGGTGGGGTGTGGCAGGGCCAGGAGGCCTCCAGCAGGGGGCCTCAGAGGGTCTGGTATACCTCATCACAGTGAGGATTACTATTGGTATCACTACCCCACATGAAGGACTGTGTTTAAACCCCATTGAAGGCATCACTGAGGAAAACTAAACAAATACAACTAATGCTAATCTAACAATAAGGATACTAATAACTATATGCAACAAAAGAAAACTAAACTGATTGAGAGGTTGTGAGGTTAAGACCACACACAGCTCCAACTCCAGCCTCGGCAGTAAAGAGGAACTGAGGGTTGGTTGAGGTGGCAGTGTTACCTCCAGGGCCGGATTTACACCTTATGCACCCATAGGCACAGCATCTTCAGTACTCCCCTCCTCCGCCTACAGCTGACCTCCAGGCTTTCTGTAAAAAATTAAACTTTTAACTCACTTTTAAGTTTTAAGCGCCCCTAGAATGCCGGACCCCCTAGGCATGTGCCTACTGTGACTAATTGGAAATCCGTCCATCATCACCTCATGTAGTTGGGGAGGGGCAATGGCCACAAGATGCAAGTGTTGCCACTTGACAGGTATTGCTAAGCAAATTTTTCTTGCTCTGGAGTGGTGGGTGCGTGCGCGTGCACACACACACACACCCCTGAGTGGCATGCACAGCTGCCTCTACTGGAAGAAGAATCTGCATTTATACTTTATAACAAGCAGATGAAATGCAGATGGTGGAAGAGCCCCTGTGACTGAGGACCTGGGGTCAGTCAGTAATTTACATGTTAAGATAAGGTAAAATTGAGCAGAAGGATTTAACACGAGCTAAATCCATGCTACTTCTGTGATTTAGCTAATACAGAAACTGGATACATCCCGCATGAGGGTGCAGCTCTTGAGTAGTGCTGGAATGCTCCAGAATGCCTTTCTGGTATTTGGTTTAGGAGCCAGAACAGTGTCCCAATACTTGTCATAACTGTAAAGCTAAAAATATTTGAATTTTTTAAGAGACCTTTTCCAAAAATCCTACATCAACCCCCTACTAATTCTAGCATTCTGGCACTTATTTTTTTTAGGACTCAAGCACAGTGAGGGTAGGATCTAACACGTAGTCAAGAGGGGAGGACATGCAAATTGAGCTGACTGCATGGGCGGCAGATATAATAGGCCAGGGGAGGCTTGCTGCTGGTGCTGGACACCTGGGTGTGGGTTTTGGGAGAAGTTTTTTGTTTGTTGTGGCCCATGCAGATTCCAGGGCATCTGAGGAGGCGGTATGTGCTATTCTGCTTCCTGGGTACATCAGTAATCTCTCTGGACTCCAGAGAGATTACTGATGAACCCAAGAAGCTGAGTAGCAGATACCGCCTCCTCAGCCGTGCTGGTACCTGCATGGGGCATATCAAAATCCCAGGTTCTTCTTTGGGGGGAGATGCTGTCATGTTTTTGAGGATTTTCCTAGGTGGCTTGTGGTCTGGGGAGGGGAAGGAAGGGGAGGGAAGGTTGCAGTGCGGCTAGGGTTGCCAACTTTCTAGTCACACAAAACCGAACATCCTAGCCCCGTTCTTCCCCAAGGCCCCGCTGTGACCCTCTGTATCTCGGCAGAACACCCTGCATCCCCTTGTTCATCCTTATAATATAATTGTGTGGTATCCAATGCAAAGTTTGTCATGTCAGGTGTCTTCGGAAGGCTGATGATGCACTGAGCATTGTTGTTATAGTAATGTTATAGCTTGTAGTTTTATGTATAAAGTTACGAGGCTGAAAATGTGTCCTTGTAGCTTAAAACAATCCCAGGCAAAACTCTCCAGGAACAGAGGGGCAGTTCACACCTCATCAGGGCATGTATAGGACAAACCCAGTGAGGAACAAAGGACACTGGCCTAGGCAGCAAGAAGTGATATGTTGGACTCCTGAGTGAGTCACCCCCTTCCCTTGGTCAGTTTGGGACTATGATGAGGTAATGCTCACCTGAACCTGAAGGTGGGGGGGACAACGCCAAGAGGGAAGAAAGAACATGATAAAAGGGAGAGACATTTGCCATGCTCTTCGTCTCTCTTCCACCTCCATCTACAGACATCACCACCAACTGACTGAAGCTCTGATCAAAGAGCCTGGCTGAAGGCCAACCAGCAGCCTGTGGTGAGAAGCATTTAAGTTTGTAAGGGCACTGAACATGTTGAGATCATCTTAGAATGTTGTCAAGGTTCCTCCCCCACTCTGAACTCAAGGGTACAGATGTGGGGACCTGCATGAAAAACCTCCTAAGCTTATCTTTACCAGCTTAGGTCAAAACTTCCCCAAGGTACAAAATATTACACCCGTTGTCCTTGGACTGGCCGCTACCACCACCAAACTAATACTGGTTACTGGGGAAGAGCTGTTTGGACGCGTCCTTCCCCCCAAAATACTTCCCAAAACCTTGCACCCTACTTCCTGGACAAGGTTTGGTAAAAAGCCTCACCAATTTGCCTAGGTGACTACAGACCCAGACCCTTGGATCTTAAGAACAATGAACAATCCTCCCAACACTTGCACCCCCCCCCTTTCCTGGGAAATGTTGGATAAAAAGCCTCACCAATTTGCATAGGTGACCACAGACCCAAACCCTTGGATCTGAGAACAATGAAAAAGCATTCAGTTTTTTACAAGAAGACTTTTAATAAAAAATAGAAGTAAATAGAAATAAAGAAATCCCCCCTGTAAAATCAGGATGGTAGATATCTTACAGGGTAATTAGATTCAAAAACATAGAGAACCCCTCTAGGCAAAACCTTAAGTTACAAAAAAGATACACAGACAGAAATAGTTATTCTATTCAGCACAATTCTTTTCTCAGCCATTTAAAGAAATCATAATCTAACACATACCTAGCTAGATTACTTACTAAAAGTTCTAAGACTCCATTCCTGTTCTGTCCCTGGCAAGAGCAGCATACAGACAGACACAGACCCTTTGTTTCTCTCCCTCCTCCCAGCTTTTTAAAGTATCTTGTCTCCTCATTGGTCATTTTGGTCAGGTGCCAGCGAGGTTACCTTTAGCTTCTTAACCCTTTACAGGTGAGAGGAGCTTTCCCCTGGCCAGGAGGGATTTCAAAGGGGTTTACCCTTCCCTTTATATTTATGACAAATGTGTTTTTGCTTTTATTTCATTTGATCAAATCCGACTTGTTGTGCTTTGACTTATAATCACTTAAAATCTATCTTTTGTAGTTAATAAGTTTGTTTGTTTGTTCTACCTGAAGCAGTGCGTCTGGTTTGAAGTGTGTCGGAGGGTCCACTTGGGATAACAAGCCTGGTACATATCAATTTCTTTGTTAAATTGACAAACTCATATAAGCTTGCAATGTCTAGTGGGCATAACTGGACACTGCAAGACAGAGGTTCGTAGGGTTGTGTCTGGGCTCGGCGATATTGGCTAGTGTCATTCGGTTGCAGAATCCAAACAATGACTGGCCAAAAGTGCTCACTCACATAGCTGGGAACAGCTTACATGCCAGAGGCTGTGCATGAACAGCCCAGGAGTGGGGGTTCTCACAGCGGTGCAAAGTAAGGCTGGCTCCCAGACTCGAGGATTGGAGTGACCTAGCAGATCACCAGTCCAGATAACACCAGAGAAACTTCACAACTGCCCCCTGCTCACTACATTACCCCTCCCTCAGTGGCTCTCTCTCCCCCACCCTCACTCACTTTCACTGGGCTGGGGGTGCAGGCTCTCTGGTGGGATCAGGGATGAGAGATTTGGGGTGCAGGAGGGGGCTCCAGGCTGGGGGGTGGGGCCAAGGAATTTGAAGTATGGGAGGGGGCTGCGGGTTGAGGCAGGGGGTTGGGGTGTGGAAGGGGGTATGGGATCTGGGCTGGGGGTGCAGGCTCTGGGGTGGGGCCAGAGATGAGGGGTTCAGGGGCAGCAGGCAGAGAGGGATGAGGTCTGACTGGGGCAGCAGGGGGTAAACCCCATGTTTGATACTGTCCTGGCCAGAGGGATTATTACCAACAACAAGGGGGCTCTGTGCTGTCTGTAACTCTGCTCTTTGTCTCTCTTTGAAGGTGCTGATGAACTGAGGCTGGCGGATGGAGGCAGCCCCTGTGCCGGGAGAGTGGAGGTTAAACACAACAATCAGTGGGGGACGGTGTGTGATGATCGCTGGGACATGGAAGATGCTGAGGTGGTTTGTAAGCAGCTGGGATGTGGATCTGCTGTCAGCGCCCATGTTTGGGCTCATTTTGGACAAGGATCTGGACCAACTTGGCTGATTGTAGTTGATTGTGATGGTGATGAGTCAGCTCTCTGGGACTGCAAACATCCAGGATGGGGTATAATCACATGCTCTCATTCTGCTGATACTGGAGTGATCTGCTCAGGTAAGAACTTGGCAAATCTGCCCCCATAGAAAACTCACCATGAAAGAGAAGGGACTGAACCCATGTGTGTGATGTTCCTGATGAGTCAGAACTGGACCATGCCCTGCACTGGGGTCCATGTGGAGCTGACCAGTCTCTCCCTGAGCTCCTCTGGGCAAACTGGGGATGAGCAGGCTGCAACATCCTCTAGGCTTCCAGTATGGGGCAGGTGGAGGTCAGGTGGTCCCATTAGAAGGTCTGTGCTGGTAGGTGCCTGTGTACAGAAGCCCAGTATCTCACCAGAGTCTCAGCAGCAGGTCGTGACAGTGGCTGCTGGATCTGGGACAGGAGCCAATGGGGGTTGAGTGCTGTGGAGCTTTCCCCAGAGTTCACTGAGGCAGCAGGAGAGGAGCCATGAACCTGAACTTGGCAAGGGGGAGGCAATCAAAACAACTGCACCAACTGTTAATACATCCCAGAATGATGTTCGTTGTTTGGTTTTTTTTGCAATGGTGTTACACTGTTGACTCATATTTAGCTTATGGTCCACTATGACCCCCAGATCCTTTTCCACAGTACACCTTCCTAGGTAGTCATTTCCCATTTTGTATGTGTGCAGCTGATCTTTATTGATCTTTATTAATGACCTGGACATAGGAATAGAGAGCACACTGATCAAGTTTACAGATGACTCAAAGCTGGGGCTGGGGGTTGCCAACACTTTGGAGGACAGAGCTAAAATTCAGTGGGATATTGATAAATTGGAGAACTGTCCTATATACAACAAAATGAAACTCAACAAAGACAAATGTAAGGTGTTACACTTAGGGAAGAAAAACCAAATACGCAAATACAGAATGGGGGATAACTGGCTTGGCAGCAGCACTGCTGAGAAGGGTCTGGGAGTTGTGGTGAATCACAACCTCAACATTAGTCAGCAATGCAATGCTGTTGGAAAAAAGCAAATGCAATTTTAGGTTCCATTAACAGAGGCATAGCATGCAAGTCATGGGAGGTGATAGTACTGCTCTACTCAGCACTGGTTAGGCCTTACCTGGAGTACTGTGACCAATTTTGGTCACCAATGTACAGAAAGGATGTGGAGAAACTGGAAAGGATCCAGAGGTGAGCAACAAAGATGATCAAAGTGATGGAATGCAAGGCATATGAGCAAAGGCTGAAGGAACTGGGTATGTTTAACTTGGAAAAGAGGAGATACGGGGGGGGGGGGACATGATAGTGGTCTACAAATACTTGAAACGCTTCCATAAAAAAATTGAGAAAAGTTGTTCTCTTTTGCTACAGAGGACAGGACAAGAAGTAATGGATTCAAACTACAGCATAGCAGATTTAGATTAAATCTCAGGAAAAATTTCCTAACTGTAAGTACAGTAGGACAATGGAACAGACTGTCCAGGGAGGTTGTGAAAGCTCCTTCACTGGACGTTTTCAAAAGCAGGATGGATAACCATCTGTCTTGGATGGTTTAGACACAACAATTCCTGCACCTTGGCAGGGGGTTAGACTAGATGACCCTTGAGGTCCCTTCTTACCATATGATTCTATGATTCAAACTCTCTCATCACTGGAGCACAGAAATTGTCAGAGTGGGTAAAGGATTCCTGCCTATTTAAAACTATCTGTTACTGGGAGAAGAAGGTGCCCTTCGTTTTGTCTCTGTGAAAGTGTATGGAGGGCTATGGGATGTCAGTGCAACCCCTGCTTACTGATGGATTTATTGACTTTCTAGGTCACATTGAGCTCCGGCTGGTTGGAGGGGGCACTGCCTGCTCAGGACGTGTTGAAGTAAAACATGGAGAAACATGGGAGACAGTCTGTGATTCACACTTAGATTTCAAAGCCGCTACAGTTATCTGTAATGAATTAGGGTGTGGACAGGCTGTAGCCACCTTGGGAACAGCTCACTTTGGAGAAGGACATGATCTGATCTGGAAGGAAGCATTCCAGTGTGTGGGGAATGAGACTGTCCTTTCAAACTGTCCCAGGATGTCCCATTCTAATGAGACATGCTCCCACGCTAATGATGTTGGCCTATTGTGCTCAGGTAAGAATTCAGATTGATGACTTTAACATACCATAAACATGGGTCCAGCAGCTGGGATACTCAGTCTCTTTTCTCCCACATCCACCTATTTCTCCTGTGAACGCACATCTCGGAATCCTTTGCATGTTTCCATGATGCTTCAGAGGATTCCAGTTTGCTAGCAAATTGAGGCTTCACTCTCTCTCCCCTCAATGGGAGCCAGAAGGGATGGCAGGAAACCACATTATCTCTCTCACATTCCTCACTCTATTTCAGGTATCCTCAATAAATGGGGGGACAAGGTGGGTGAGGTAATATCTTTTATTGGACCAACTTTTGTTGATGAGAGAGACAAGCTTTCAAGCTACATCAACTGCAGTTGGTCCAATAAAAGATATTACCTCAAGCACTTTGTCTCTCTAATAGCTGGGACCAATAAGACTACAACAAGACTGCATCCAATAAATGGAGACACTTCTATTTACTTTTCTTCCTCTATTACATCACAGTCCCAGCAATGCTCTGATTCTCCTTCATCCTTCATTAGGGGTACATGTTCTCCAATGCGCTTCCAGTGCTGAGAACTCCGTTTCCTACTCTCCCTACATTTGTAAAGGGATAGGGCATGGTCTGGTGGCTTGAGAACAGAACCAGCACCTGGGAGACATGGTTCCAGCTTTGCCATTTTGTTCATTAATCCCTGTGCCTCAGTTTCCCCATCTGTAATAATAATTACCTACCTCAGCGAATAGTTATGAAGCTTAATTCATTAATGCTTGTAAAGTGCTTTCAGGCACTTGGATACCTCATGCTACATACGGGCCACGTGTTGTTTCAGATCTTTACTGACAGAATTTGTGCAGTTGTCGCCACTTATGTATGTTATTGCCCTGTAACAGGGGTTGGCTTCGTGCCCCCCATTAATATGGATCTGGTTTTCAGAGATAACAGACACTGTCTTCTTGTTAGGGCCAAGATCTTGTCAGGACACAAATCTAAATGGGTGAGTTAAAATAAGGGCTGGACCATCTAGTGCGTAGCCTTTCCCATCACCGCTAGTAGCACAGCCTGGAAAGGATCTGTACTGCCCACCAGCCTGCCTGTGGAACACACCGTTGCCTGAAAGAGCCATCCATTGCAGCCAGCCAGTTAGCCTGTCTCTGTGTGAATAAAGAGCCCATGGTCATGCTGCTAGGTTGGGTATTGGGATGGGTGGGGGAAATGGAAAACATAATGGTCCTTTTTCCTAAAAGGTAAAGTCCTGGGGAGAGGAGGCCAGGATCTGAGAGGGAGCTCATCCCTCCATAAAGAAGGGCAGAGAGAGAGAGAGAGAGACCCTAGCCCTCTGGTGCTCATTACTGCAAATGTCTCTGTGAGAGCTCCTAGAGATAAAGCTTTCTCCTCTCCCTGCCCCTTCCCCAATTTTCCCTTCAGTGGTGTGTTTCACTCCCTGTCTGATCTGGCAGTGGCAGTTGAGGGATCTGCTCCATATCTTGTGGGATTGAGCTCTGTATTTGGGGGACTGTGACACACCAGGGCACAGTCCAGACTAACGAATAGCTGTGTCACCCCTGCCCTCTAACCTAGGGTGCCCTTTATAATATCTTGAGGCTGTAGCCTCCAACCTGGACTTCTCACAAACAGCCTCCAGCATGTAAGTCACTTCCAGTTATGTTTGTGCTGCTGCCAGTCAGCCACACCTTGGTTCTTACCAGCCTTGGTTAAACTGCAGGGTGACCCCAGGACACCTCCATTGCCAGATCTTCCCCTAGAAAAGTATGTCCTGTATTGCCCAGTCCTCTCCTGGACAGTACAAATATATTAAGTTGATTATTCCTTTAAGGGAATGATATGCCAGTTTATTGCTTTAAATCAAGTACCCAGATACTTCAGTTTAAACACCCTGGATTAGATAAAACAGTAAAACAAATTTATTAACTACAAAACAATTTTAAGTGTGTATAAGTAATGAGCCATAAAAGTCAGAAATGGTTACAAGAAAAATGTTTAATAGTGCCTAACTCCACAAACTATGCTAGATTCAAGCAAAAATTCTCATCACATGTTTCCAGCCAGGTTACTGACCAAACTCTTCAGGTCAGGGCCCCTCTTCCAAATTCCAGGGGCAGTTTCCTTTTGTCTTCTCAGGTGCAGAGAACGCAATGGGCAGGGAGAGAGAGAGAGAGAGAGAGAGCGGTCCGTTGGGGTGTTTGTCCCTCCTTTTTAAAAAGTCCCCCTCTTGAAAAACATTTCCAGCTGAGACCCAGGAGCGAAAGTGTCTTTGTGGAAAGTTATTCCCTGCTGGTTTTTAAACCTGTTTAAATTCTTTTGTCTTCCCTTCCTGCTTGATGCCTCTGTTTAATGCTTAACTGAAAATTAAGGCAAGCACACAATCCTTCCTTTGTTTAGGGCAGACATGACTTCTGCCAGGGCAGGGATGTGGGGTTTGGAACATGTGTCAGTCACATCATAGAATCATAGAATATCAGGGTTGGAAGGGACCTCAGGAAGTCATCTAGTCCACCCCCCTGCTCAAAGCAGGACCAATCCCCAACTAAATCATTCCAGCCAGGGCTTTGTCAAGTCTGACCTTAAAAATATCTAAGGAAGGAGATTCCACCACCTCCCTAGGTAAAGCATTCCAGTGTTTCACCGCCCTCCTAGTGAAAAAGTTTTTCCTAATATCCAACCTAAAACTCCCCCACTGCAACTTGAGACCACTACTCCTTGTTCTGTCATCAGCTACCACTGAGAACAGTCTAGATCCATCCTCTTTGGAACCCCCTTTCAGGTAGTTGAAAGCAGCTATCAAATCCCCCCTCATTCTTCTCTTCTGCAGACTAAACAATCCCAGTTCCCTCAGCCTCTCCTCATAACTCATGTGTTCCAGTCCCCTAATCATTTTTGTTGCCCTCCGCTGGACGTTTTCCAGTTTTTCCACATCCTTCTTGTAGTGTGGGGCCCAAAACTGGACACAATATTCCAGATGAGGCCTCACCAATGTTGAATAGAGGGGAACGATCACTTCCCTCGATCTACTGGCAATGCCCCTACATAGACATCCCAAAATCATAGAATCATAGAATCATAGAATATAAGGGTTGGAAGGGACCCCAGAAGGTCATCTAGTCCAACCCCCTGCTCGAAGCAGGACCAATTCCCAGTTAAATCATCAAAATGCCATTGGCCTTCTTGGCAACAAGGGCACACTGTTGACTCGTATCCAGCTTCTCATCCACTGTAACCCCTAGGTCCTTTTCTGCAGAACTGCTGCCGAGCCATTCGGTCCCTAGTCTGTAGCTGTGCATGGGGTTCTTCTGTCCTAAGTGCAGGACTCTACACTTGTCCTTGTTGAACCTCATCAGATTTCTTTTGGCCCAATCCTCCAATTTGTCTAGGGCCCTCTGTATCCTATCCCTACCCTCCAGCATATCTACCTCTCCTCCCAGTTTAGTGTCATCTGCAAACTTGCTGATGGTGCAATCCAGGCAATCCTCCAGATCATTAATGAAGATATTGAACAAAACCAGCCGCAGGACCGATCTGTGGGGCACTCCACTTGATACCGGCTGCCAACTAGACATGGAGCCATTGATCACTACCCGTTGAGGTAATGATCTAGTTAGCCTTCTATCCACCTTATGGTCCATTCATCCATCCCATGCTTCTTTAACTTGCTGGCAAGAATATTGTGGGAGACTGTGTCAAAAGCTTTGCTAAAGTCAAGGAACAACACGTCCACTGCTTTCCCCTCATCCACAGAGCCAGTTATCTCGTCATAGAAGGCAATTATATTAGTCAGGCATGACTTGCCCTTGGTGAATCCATGCTGACTGTTCCTGATCACTTTCCTCTCCTCTAAGTGCTTCAGAATTGATTCCTTGAGAACCTACTCCATGATTTTTTCAGGGACTGAGGTGAGGCTGACTGGCCTGTAGTTCCCCGGATCCTCCTTCTTCCCTTTTTTAAAGATGGGCACTACATTAGCCTTTTTCCAGTCATCCAGGACTTCCCCCAATCACCATGAGTTTTCAAAGATAATGGCCAATGGCTCTGCAATCACATCCGCCAACTCCTTTAGCACTCTCGGATGCAGCGTATCCAGCCCCATGGACTTGTGCTCGTCCAGCTTTTCTAAATAGTCCCGAACCACTCCTTTCTCCACAGAGGGCTGGTCACCTCCTCCCCATGCTGTGCTGCCCAGTGCAGCAGTCTGGGAGCTGACCTTGTTCATGAAGACAGAGGCAAAAAAAGCATTGAGTACATTAGCTTTTTCCACATCCTCTGTCACTAGGTTGCCTCCCTCATTCATTAAGGGGCCCACACTTTCCTTGGCTTTCTTCTTGTTGCCGACATACCTGAAGAAACCCTTCTTGTTACTCTTAACGTCTCTCGCTAGCTGCAGCTCCAGGTGCGATTTGGCCCTCCTGATTTCATTCCTACATGCCCGAGCAATATTTTTATACTCTTCCCTGGTCATTTGTCCAATCTTCCACTTCTTGTAAGCTTCCTTTTTGTGTTCAAGGTCAGCAAGGATTTCACTGTTAAGCCAAGCTGGTCACCTGCCATATTTACTATTCTTTCTACACATCAGGATGGCTTGTCCCTGTAACCTCAACAAAGATTCTTTAAAATACAGCCAGCTCTCCTGGACTCCTTTCCCCTTCATGTTTTTCTCCCAGAGGATCCTGCCCATGAGTTCCCTGAGGGAGTCGAAGTCTGCTTTTCTGAAGTCCAGCGTCCGTATTCTGCTGCTCTCCTTTCTTCCCTGTGTCAGGATCCTGAACTCAACCATCTCATGGTCACTGCCTCCCAGGTTCCCATCCACTTTTGCTTCCCCTACTAATTCTTCCCGGTTTGTGAGCAGCAGGTCAAGAAGAGCTCTGCCCCTCGTTGGTTCCTCCAGCACCTGCACCAGGAAATTGTCCCCTACCCTTTCCAAAACTTTTTGGATTGTCTGGGCACCGCTGTATTGCTCTCCCAGCAGATATCAGGGTGATTGAAGTCTCCCATGAGAACCA